TGATAATATGGCTTTCACAAATTTTGTTATAATGAATTATAAAACTGTGCATCAAACCTGAATAAAAAGATTATGTAAAAAAATCTCCCCTACTCCATTTTTATAAATGTTATAACTAAGCTAAAGATCACGTTGTTGTGTATTGCTGGTCTGCAGAGATCACCTTAAACAACTGTGAATGTTTCAAATGAACAGGAATACTTAAAATACTAGCATAATAGCTCTTACAAGCAAAAAAAGCAGCTGAAAATAGCTGAGAGAGAATGTGGAGATTATGCTGAAATTCTCTTACACCAAAATCTAACACAGAGTGAAGTATAATAATCATTAAGCAGAAAATTTAGTAGTGTAAAACAGACCAAGGATCTCAATCCAGCCAGCTGATAGCTGCTAACATTGTTCTCCATATACCATTGTATAAAAGGGCAGGAAAGTTGGTACTGTAACCTTACTATATACTTCTAGAAAAATTATTGCCAGGGTTTCAAAAACATGTTTTCTGGAAACTTCCAGAATGACAAAAATAGTCACCAACTTCTGATAGAGGGGATCTGATTCTGTTTGAGCTATCCTACATTTGAAACATCACTAGTGGCTGTGAATTTAAAACTAAATAAAATAACCATGTTAAATGTAATAAATAAATTTTAAAAAATCTGAAAGCTTCCAGTTTTTATATTATTCTCAAAGAGGTGTTTTTCTCATTTGCATGAACATACATGTTTTGAGAGTATTTAGGCTAAAATCCCTTTGAGCTAAAATTATTTAAAAACAGCATAGCTTTAGAATTTCTGACAGTCTCACACGCTGAAGATAAAAATGTTTTATTCTGTACAGTGTTGCCACTGCTCGCTTTGAAATAGTTAAATTTGTTAATCAAAAATTAATTAAAATTTTACAAAGTATGAAATAGATAATAAAACAAATTCAAACTTTGATCTTCCAGGTACTCATATTCGAATGGGGAACTACTTTATTCAAAATTTGAATGCTCTAGGTACTGCTGTTTTTTCAGTGTGAGAAACATACATACATTCATGCAGGTTCTTCATTATTTTATTTCTTTAAATATAATACTGGGCGATATATTTGGTGGAAACAATTTGAAAAGTGATTCTATGCAAAATGCCGTTTTGAGACTAATACAGGGTTCGTAGCGGTTTTTATAAGTGTTTATAAGTCCTTATATTTGAAAATAAAAATATAAAGGCCCTTATGGGTGCTTACTTTTTCTTTAAAGCTCTTATTTTTTTGCTTTTAGTGTTTTTTTTTTTTTTTTTTTAATGAACGCGCTATTTTTCCCCCTACCAAAGCCGAAACTGAATAAACAACTTTTCTTCTTAATGTGGAATGTCAGATGGTGAATCATACTCCCGGAAATAGCTTTTTACCCTTTCTCTGCATTAACATAACCTTTGGTGTACACGAAGAGTAACAGACAGGTGCCCATCGTTCTATTAGTCAAAGAATTGCGAAAGCAGTAGAAAATTCCGGTACATTCGGCATTCTTTTCCTCCCACCAAATACTACACATGTTTGAATTTCTATCAAAATCTTAAAAATTTGCATTCTCGTTCTGCTGGGTCAGTTCATATTCGTGTTTATTATGATCGTTATGCTTATATTATGAGCATATGTATGAATGTTTATAATAACATAGTTGCAGTTTGCAGTAACTGCTGAAGTATATTAAACTTCCAAAAATGGTTGTGTTTTAACACAGATTAGCTTTCTAAGGATAATATTCGGAATGGCTTAAATAAAGGGAAAGTAATCGAATAGTCAAGATAATTTTTTTTTTTTTTTTCCAATGCGTTATACAGTATGAAGGTTGGGAGGTTCTCCCCTTTCTCCGCAAAATCTCAAATATTGAAACTGTTACATTTCGCTGCAAAACAAGCAACATACTTTTTTTGGGGGGTCCCCTTCCAATCTGAATTGAATAGGACTAAAAGTTCTGCGGTCTACCAACCCAAGCGAAGAATGATTCTATTCCGGAAATTTAATGCCGTCTGTTGAAAATTAGAATGAAAAACACCCCAGTTATTTAGTTCTTTATTCTCCCAATACCTGCAGCTGTTGATTCCGATTGCGTAATACCGCATAGGGAAGAATTATGCCACACGTATTGCGCAATAACGTTTGCGATATTTTGCAGAGATAATTAATTTTGATGTTCAGTCCGAGATTTGTTTATGAACACTTAAAAGAGTTTTACTGTGCTTGCTAAGTAGAATATTTTTTAGTTGGGTTGGTTTATTTTTATATGATGCACATATCGAAACGTCAAAAGCATTTATTCAGCTACAGTCTACCCCCCTTCTCCCGCTCTTCTTTTTCAAGCATGGAGGTAAGAAAAGAAGGAATGGCCAAACCGGTACAATAATTGAAGCACTACTTTGAAGCTTTGGTCACCAGATGGGATGTTTTTTGTTTACATTCAGCAGCTCACTTGACAGAGCTCTGATAGTATTTCCACACACAGCAGTTCTGTACAAGTCGAAAAACGGGACACTTCCGCATAAAAGAAGCATTCCTAGTATGATGGATAATAGCAATTTGCATAGATTAGCGACATTTACGCTAAAATCACATCTTGGTTATTTTTTTATAACTAACAACAGCGATTTTGATTATGAATTTGTTTTATAAAATTCCAAGCTGTTGAACTACAAAAATATAGATTTTAGCAAAAATGTTATGCTTAAAGAATAAAAAATACCTCGCCATACCTTTAAAATTGTATACATTTTTCGATACCCTTAATACAGTATTTGCAACTTTTATTTTATGTTCCGAACCCCAAAATGTTTTAAATAAAATAAATTTTTTTCTCATCCACATATTATTGTAACATGTACTTTTTAAAATTAGTGTAAATTAATTTACGCGAAAAATACAGTGAATGCACAGAAATTAAAGATTTCCAAAGAAATGAAAAGTATGAAATATGTATGGGTATTTATGGATGTGCTTCCAAAAAGCATGTATATCTGCCTTTAACAAAATACGGCAATATTTATTTAATTATTAATAAATGCATTTGAAATGAAAGATTTATTTCATGCATAAATAGCTGAAAGTTACTCTGAAGAAATCTAATTATTAAATGCATCTAAATTTATAATGATTATAAATATTATCTAAATATATAACCGTAACATTGAATTGTAAACATAAATTGACATCCTATTGACAAATATGTTATAAAACTCTTTAAGCAAGGATTATTCGTACTGGAAAGCAATCTGTTAAAAGGTATTGTAAAGCAATTTCTATGAGATGTGTACGAAAGTAATAAAGAAGAGTTTTGAATATGTACTTTTGACATTAAGGGTAAAAAAATCTAATAAGTATAATTAAAAGAATTACTCCCCTTATCAGTCATATATTCCATTTATATAAGTCAGTTACAAGTTTTAAATAATATTTAAAAAATAATCCTTATTTTATTCCCTTTCAGAAATATTTAGAGAAAGTTAAGTACTATTTAAAGTATTTCGCTATTAAATTAAAAGGTGCTCTAATTTGAAATGGACCAAATAGAGCATTAATTATCTTATATTAGACTTATAGTTTTTGATTTAAAAGATGCCTTAGAAGCTAAAAAATCATGTCATATTTGAGAAAGTATTTTAGGAAGAAACTCTATAAATAAAAAAGAAATAATGCATAATTTTAATAATACAACAAACTTTGGTCTTAATTTTTGTAATCCTTAACCGAATCAAATTGAATTACCTTAATTTTTTTTCTAATGTATTTAACGAAAACTTGTGAAAATATTTCAAATTAAACCATTCTGAGCAAAGTGTTCTGTGAAAAATATAGCATTTAATTCCATTCAGAATGAAATGTTGTTTGAAAATGTATTCTTTTCATATACTTAGGCCTCTGAAGTATTGTAGAAAAAGAAAATATATACATTTATATGCATATTTACGACGTAATTACAAAATATTTACATCCGATCGTGTCAAAACCCATTGAACTCAATGGTAAATTACCCAATGTTTTGGTAACCAAAGAAGGGATCGCTAGTGCTTCAAAGCAGGATATGGAGAAACCGGTTTAGGGCCACTCCATCTAAATTCCTACCTCAATGTTTCCAAGTTACGCTTGACTGTCCGAATATTCGCCAATTTCCAAGTATGCAGGTTAGTTAAGCTTTTACTGTTAAAGGATGACTGCATGAAGCAAATTTCTGTCTTCTTTACTTAAATTACTTTGCTTGCAATATCTGTTAAGGGAAAACTAATATATAATGAAAATTGAGAAAATGTTCAGAATTTAGATTTAAATTATTTAAATACCAATATGAGTGGAAAAATAAATTGTATTTATTATTAGGTTCCAAGTGAATACAATAAATATGGCTTATTATTATTTATTTTCTCTATTTTTAACTGAAATTTCATCATTAAATCTTGTAATATAGTTTAGTTCTGCATAGTTTTTTTTTTTTCTCTCATTGTAAACTAGTTCTGTAAATTGAACTGTTATTTAAAATTAAAAACAAAACAAAAAAAAAAAAAAGGTAATTATTTTCCATGGCTGAGGTAATGCTTATTGTCTCTTAATAAATACTGCATTTCTCATATTTTAAATTACAAGTCTAATTTGTAAGGTTATGCAGTTGTGTATGATGTAATTAGACATGTGCTTATTTTTTTCTTAAAATGTGCTTGAAAAGTGCTTATAGGTGCTTATTTTTTTAACTAAAATGTGGCTATGAACCCTGTAATAGCCATTCTGAGCTAATAACAGTACAAAAATACATAAAATCCCTAACCATTAGCAAATATTTACACAAGTTACATCAGTAAATTCATATTTGGAACTAACATAAATAGTTAATAAATATTTATCATTACTTGAATTTGAATTTTTATGTTTATTTCTACTTTATTATTTTTTTTTATTTTACTTTATTTCATAACCAATAAATAGGAAAATGTGAACTCTTTATACATAAATTTTCAAATGTTCTAATGATATAGGAAGAACACTGGAATGTCACACCAGCATCAATTACTCAGCAGCAAAAGCTTAGAGTTTGTGAAGTATGTTCATCTTATTTAGGTGTGCATGATAACGATAAAAGATTAGCAGATCATTTTAATGGAAAATTGCATTTAGGCTTTATTACCATCCGAGAAAAGCTTCAAGAGTTGGAGGTGAGTTTTCTTTTAATGTTGTATAATGGAAAATTTTTCATATTAAATTATATTTTAGTTGTAGAAATGAGAACTTTTCATTTAACTTCACTTCTTTTCACTGCTGTTTATCGACTGAAGTGCAAATGCTGTTTCATGCAGGTTTTTTTAAATATATATATATATGTATATATATAATTATAAGTAAGGTTGTAAGAACAAATGAAAAAAGACCAAATTTGGTCAAAGTTTTGCGCATTGTGCTGCAAAATTAAGGAAATTAGAAGATAAATTTTAGTTTGCACGCCAAAAAGTTACCAAAAACTGTGGCTCCGTGAAAACTCTAACATAAGCATATTTAGTTGCTAAGAAATGTGTGAAAGACGAGAAAAAGTATTTGAATATTTACAAGTTAAATTAATAAAAAAGCTATATGCTTAACAAATTAGGTAATTTTTAACACAGTAAAAAACAAATCAATTGAATGAGTTAAATAAAGATAGTAGGCTATATGCTAAACGAGAAAAGTAGATTATAAAACACAGTAAAATACTAATCAATTAATCAAGGTAAAATATAAAATATATTAAAATTAAGAAGTGGTAAATGGTTAATTAGCCCAATTTGAAGTTCATTTTGGCTTTTCAAGGGAAATTTTTAAGGGTGTTTCAGAAAAATGGTTACAAACTTTCAGGAGAGGTAGAGTACACCTAGAGGAGGGAAAATCACATAGCAATGCATGGTTGAAAATGCTTTCTTGGCACAGTTGTGACACTACAAAAGTATACTGTATCGCTCCTGAAAGTTTGAAACCAATTTGCTGAAACAACCTGTATATTATACTGTAACATCAGTGATGTTTCTTTCTATTTTTAAGTTTATATTAGCTATTTTTAGCCTGATGTCTTGCATTGTCTTGTTTAGTATGTCTTGCATTTTATTTATTTATTTTATTTTTATTTTTATTTTTTTGGAAAGTACGCTTACAAGAAAAATATTTCATTATTTAAAAACATTGGAAGCATTTTCTTCATGCTTTCTTTCTACAAAAATTGCAGCTTATAATGAAACTTAATGGTTAATAAATTCAACCAGTTATTGCGTTCAGATTTCCAAGAACCAAAACAAATATATATTGATTTATAGTGTTACAAATTTTGTACATGATAGATGATTTTAGTGCAATTATATGTAAAATTGTTGTATTTCTTTTGTATAATGTAACATGAAATATGTAAAAAAGAAAAGTGAGAATACAGGGACAAGTCTGTTTAACATTGAGTAAATGGGAATCTCAGTAATTTGGCGAGATGTCACCAAGCTGGCTGCAGTTTTGGTGGCTAATTTTTGTTGCCAAATTTCTCGAGTAATCGCCAAAAGTTGCCAAACTTGATGGATGACAGTTTGGTCCAGTCCCAGTAATAAATCGTGTCTACTACTGTATTAGGTGTAACCATAATTCAACCTACATATTGCCTTCCAGTGATTCCGAGAAGCAGAAAGTACTAGAAATATCTCAGTGGCCAGGTGAAAACTATAAAAGGCCGGAGAGAGCTTCTGCTCTCAGTTGTTGTTATTGCGAGTTGTTGGTTTAGCATGATTTTAGAGCACCGAGATATTCCCATATTAGCTTTCTTTTTAGATGTGCTTTGCATTGTGTTGTGTTTCATGTTCTTAGTTATTTGAAGTGTAACTACTGATTGTACTCAGTTGTACTGTGAACACCTGTACGAGTATTTCGGTGGAAAATTCTAGAATCCTGAAATTTTCTTTTGATAAAATTAATTTTATCAACCTATCATCGTATCTGTGCGCATTCAATCTATTGCGAACTCGTATGCACACAATAATGTTTATTAAACTCATCTCTGCTTAAAAAAACTCCATTTCTTAATCTCGGTGATCCCAATTTCAAAGAATAAAACTTCCTCAAAACAAAGCAACAAATCATACTTCGAAAAATACCACTGCATCCCTTGAAAATATAAAGACTGATATTGATATTGCATATATGCCTTTTCATTGTAGTTCTGCAAAGTCCCCTGCCATTTCACCTATGGTTTATTGTGCCTTTGGTCTTTTGAAAAGAGCTCTTTGTCAACACAAGCCCACCATAATTGATGGATTCTGTGAAGTAGTAGAAGAGAAAGAAAAATCATCAGCCTGCGAAATTTTATGAAAATCCCAATGGAGACATAGTTCAAAAAAAGGGCTATCAGATCAAACATTTAAAAAATAGTCTTTATTTTTTAAACATTAATTAAATGCCTTCAAAATTGTTCTAAAAATGAGTAAACAGCCCATGTAGTAACATTACATACCAGTTTAAAAGTTTAAACCATCAGAAAATTATCTCAAAAATTTGTCATAATTTTTGCTACGGTTATAAAAGATCGTTAAAGGCACTGTATTTCAATTCAAAATTATGAACTATGCCATCAAGCAAAGCACATGTACCCAGCTAATATTTTCTTGTGTAATAATTAGCATCAATTTAAGGTGGCACCTGCCATCTTTCATGGAAAGAAAAGTTTGAATGTGCTCCAGCATATCCCACTGCTAATTAATGCACCTGATTCTCATAATCAGCAATAGATTAGAAGGAGTTACTTCCCAGAGCTTAAAACACCATATTGTTGTGAATTTTGTGCAGAGTTGTATAATTTTAGTGAAATTATATGTGAAAGGTGTTGTGATTTTCTGTATATAATGTAACATAGAAATCTAGAGAGAGAGAATGCCCTGTCACAAAAGTACGAATACATGGGCAAGTCTATTTACAATTGAGTAAATTGCTATTGCTAATTTGGCAAAACATCACTAAGCTGGCAACAGTTTTGCTGACTAATTTTTTATTGCCAATTTGGCAAGAAATTCCCAAAAGTTGCCAAGTTTGGCAACCATTCGGTGACATTTTGGTCCAATCCCTGAATCACCATAATAAGTACTGTAATTGATCCTCTTTACCTGTAACTGTATTAGGCCCTCATATGCCTTCCAGTAATTTCGAGAAGCAGTCTTGGCCTCCGAGGGAAAACTGTATAAAAACCAGAGAGAGTGTAAGTTTCTGAGTAGTTGTCAGTATTTGAGATGTCTGCGAATTAGCTTTCCCTCTTTAGATGCGCTTTTCACTGCATTGTGTTTAACGTTCTTAGTAGTTAGAAGTGTAACTACTAACTACTCTGTGATACTGTGAAGACTTGTATAATTATTTTTTGGTACAATTATTTACTAAATTTTTGACCAACTATTTTTTGGAGAGTTTGGCGACATTTTGGCTCAATCCCCGTATTATCGTAATAGTTATTGTAATTAAATAAATATAATTGATCACTATATTAGCTGTAACCATAATTTGACCCTCTTATTGCCTTCCAGTAATTTTGAGAAGCAGAAAGTATCAGAAATATCTTGGCAGCCAGGTGAAAACTATGTAAGACCAGAGAGAGCATCTGTTGTCAGTTATTGTTGTTGTGAGTTTTTAGGTCACGGTGAGTTTGGAGTATTGAGTTATTTCCGGGTTAGCTTTGCTCTTTAAATACACGTCGCTTTGCACTGTGTTTAACTTCAAGATATTTCTGGTAGTTTGAAGAGTTACTGTTAATTATACACTGTGATACTGTGAGATTGGGTTGTATGACTATTTTATGGAAAATTCCAGAACTATTAAGGATTTCTTTTGATAAAATAAATTTTATCATCCTATCTTCCAACCTGTGTATACAACAATATGTTCTCATGTGTTTCTGGAGTGCATAAACCATGTAAGGTTCATGCACATTTTGAAAATGTAATACATTTGCAGTGTGTACTGTTTATTTTTACTGCAATTTAATATCACATGGTAAAAGGGCTGATGTGCTAAAATGTGTGCATACACAAAACACAATAACTATGTAAATTTTATTGGAAAAAATGGAATTAAATTTTTCTGTGGAAACAATGGACCAAAATGTTATTAATGCAAAATACCTGTTTTCTGCCTCTTTACTTGATCACTGTGTGCCACTGAATCTCTCTGACCATGCAGCTATTTTATTTTATGTTTATGATGGCATAATTGCTAAGAAATATTTGTGGGTAAGAATAAAGTAGTTGTTGAAAAATGGATGTGAAATATACGAGGCGTATTCGGAAACTAAGTACCGTTTTGGAAAAAAAAAAAAAAAAGTAAAACAATTTTTTCGAATCCAATTTTATTTTTACATGAAAATACATGTCTTAAACTATTTTTCAACATAGTTTCTGCCAATGATCAAACATTTGTCATAGCGGGTGACCAGTGTTTGTGTACCATCGTCAAAGAAACTTCCCTCCAGTTTCGATAACCACGACTCCACAGCATTTTTCGTGTCATCGTCAGATCCAAAACGCTTGCCACCAAGCTCGCGCTTCATGTGCAGAAACAAGTGATAGTCGGATAGTCCTTTGAAAGAGTTGTCATTGTGAAGCGTCTGTTCTCATGAATTGCTTCATCAAATTTCCTTACCAAACCATTGGTGACAACAGAAGGCCGACCACTCCGAGCCTCGGCGTGGACATTTGTTCGACCTGCATTAAACATTCTTACCCACTTTCTCACCATTCCATCACTTAATCGCGTATTCACCGTAAACTTCTGTCACTTGACGATAAATTTCGGCCGGTTTAACATTCCTCGCGTTCAAAAATTTAATCACGGCACGAATCTCACAGTCAGCGGGAGAACTAATTGTCTTAAACATTTTGAATGTGTACAGCAAACTGAAAACACAACATAGAGCAACCAAAATGGCGACAATTGAAAGTCAGTGAACAAGAAAGACTATTGCGCATGTGCTTGATGCCTACCACAGCGCTGCAACGGTGCTAGAATGAACCGGTACTTAGTTTTCGAATACGCTACGTAAATCTTCAGTTGTTGCTGGCATTGAAACAGTTATTTTCTGCTTTTCTTTGTACAGTCAAAAGTCGTTAATCCAGACTCGTCGGGACTTCGATTCCGGATTATCGATTTTTCCGGATTATAGATCATCAGTTTAAATCGTGTAAGATGGCATGCAGAAATTCTAAAATTAAAAATATGAAACCGTAATATATGAAATAAAGAACAATTATGATCTAAAGGGTATCAAAATTTACAAAAAAAAAAGCTTAATATTTATTTGTTTACTTTATTAAACATTTCTTTTAATGTAAGTTGTTTAAGTTGCTTCGTTTTATGTGATAATACTTTCTCTTAAATTCTATAAACAGGCATAATTTTTTGTTTAGTTACAAAGTTCCACTGTTCAAGTCCCGTTAATTGCTGTGCCGAGAATACCGACTAACTTGTCAATCGAAATTTTTTCGTTTTCACTAACCTCTCTGTCACATTCTTCATGTCTTTATCCATTTTTTCCAGCAGTTCCACTTTTTGTTTGATGGACATCGAAACATACTTTCATTTTGTACGATACTTTGGGAGCTCCAGATTCGGAAATTCTATTTGACATAATCGAAAGTTCAAGTTTACTTTATAAAATTGCTTTTACAGCGTGCAAAGAATAATAAGCCGGATCCAATTCAAAGATTAAGGAGCAACGCAATCATCAACATTAACTGAAATAGATAATTAGATAATTTTAGATTATACCGTCCGTTATACATAAAACGCGCACGCGAAAACGTATTCTGCGCTTGCGCACACGCAAATGCGCAGTCGTAAGAGGTCTTACGCGCACGCGTAAATGCCCACATGTGTCAACGAGGCGCATATGCAGAAGTTTTTAGCTTTGAGGTCCGGATTATGGGTGTCCGAATTAACGGCTTTTGACTGTATCTCCAATTTAGAAGGAAATTCTACAAATTTCAATATAGCATAGCTAATTATTAAAACACTGTAGAAAACTGAAATCTTCTGAACAACTGTTTAGCTGTTTGGGCTGATAATGCACCAGTAATGGTAGGCCTCAAAGAATGATGTTGCATACACTTATAAAAAAAAAAGAAAAAGAAAAGAAAAGAAAATGTAAACTCAGTTTGTAAGTTATGAATTGTAGCTTTCTTTAAAAAAAAAAAAAAAAAAAATTTAGCAGATATAAAAAGTTCAATTTTACCAAATAAATGTGGATGAATTCATTGTTGATGTTTATTAAAGAGAAGTCTAAAGGGAAGGAAAATTAAAGCAATTTCAGCTACTGTATAATACTGAAATAAGAAAAAATTTAAAACATGTATGTGTGGCTGGTAATCTTTAGCTTGTAAACTTTTATTACCAAAAACAACACCAAAATTCCAGTTACTATGAACAAAATTATGAGGTTTCTATCATAAAATCTGCTACTGTTGTTAAAATTTGTATGAAAACAGATTAAACTATTATTTTTATATAGACAAAATTTTTTTAAATTATATTATATATTACTGAAATATATCAAATTATAAATATATTTTAATATATGAGTATTTTTCTGCTAATGGCATTTAAAACTTATAATTAGGCTGTATTTACAGTTTGTTATTTTTTTTTTAAATTTCCATTTTGTGTTATTTTTATTCTTCAGAAATTATTTTTGTTGATGAAAGTATCCTCTTGATTTCTTAAAGAACTGAGTTTTCCCAAAATTTCTGGACAATTATGTTAGTTGTACCATTTATATTCAGGGTGGCTCAAAAAAATGCTGCAGAAATTTTTTTTAAAGGTAGAGAGGACTGAATAGGCAGATTTTGCTATAGAATGTTTGTTCAGGAATGGTGCATTGAGGTGGTACAAGGTATTTTGAACAGTAAGTAAAAGTGTTTTGTTACCATAAATCATCATTCCTCTTGCAAAACTGGAATGGTGTACATCACTACACAAAATTGGAGCTTACCAGCATGTATTTTACATGTAGAACAGCTGCTCCTTATCTGTCTATTGTCCTGTAGATAAAATGCATATTGGCAAGGCCCATGTTTGTGTAGCCATGCATACTGCTTGAAATTCACTTGAGAAAGGGTGATTTTAGCCAACAGAATGCTTTACTTGTCCCCTCTACTGACTCAATGCACTATTTCTGTGCAAACATCCCATCATATGTATAATTTGCTTATTTCTGTTTTCTCAGTCTGCTTTTATATTTTCGCTTGTATAATCAATCTATTTGCCTTTACAAATATTGTCATTACACAAAACTTAAAATGTCAATTTACCTTCTAAGTGCCTCATTAATAATCAGTTCTTGGAGGAAAGTATTTGGCTCAAAGTAAGATCTTGATATTGGAAACATTTGTCGGGAGTCTCGAAAAATTTTATTTTTGTTAAGTTGCATCATATTATGCTGCCAAGTACTTACTGTCTACTACTTCAGCAAGTGTTTCCACTGCAAAAATATTGCACTACCTCACACTCTTGACTGAAAATCCATGGGTTACTAGTTTGATATCATAGTTTATTTAAATATACTACATTGCCCTGCAGTGTTTTGACAATTGGTAACTGTAACCAGCGACAAATTGCAGTGATGCATTGCACTCAATTTTCATTTAAAAATTTTAATTTGCCGCTACACACTCATTGGTTACTGATGCAGGGTAATAACTGTCAACTTGTGTAGATCACCAGAGAGTGACTTTGGTGTACTTCTGTTTAATTTTAAAATGTAACTCAATTTCTGCACCCTTACATGCAAATTATTTAATTGGTCACCGGCCTATGAAACTGTGGCTATGAAACTGTAGGTCACAGCAGACAACAACCTTGATGTGCATATATATGTCTGACAATATAATTACAAAATTTAATCTAATTGCAGTGCCCCTTTCCATATTTGATTCTCTGTCTGATTAGCAGCAACCAAATTACTGAACAGCAAGGAATTATGTCCTTCAGATTAATTTTATTTAAAAGATTTATCTAAATTTACTGCTGTGTCCAGTCATGGTTGATTGGCCTGTGGTTGACTGCCGTCTACAGTCAGTCTGCATGTTTCTTTTACACACTTTGGCAGACATTGAAGTATTTTAAATTAATATTGTTTTTAAAATTTCTCTAAATTAACTGCACTGCTCCACATTGATTATTCATTAGTTGACCTTAGAAGGTACTAGAAGGTAAATTGACATTTTATGTTTTGTGTAATGACAATATTTGTAAAGGTGCTATAGCTCACTGATGATCAGTAACCTTACTAACATTAATGTCCTTCCATTTAACTTTAGTTGATTTTTTTTTTTTTTTTTTTCCCTTCTTAGTCAGTCCAAAGGGGCAATTTGCCAAGAAGGACTTTGGTTTTGGCATTTTGCGTTGAAATGTCAGTTAACTTTTCACATTATTGCCACGGAATATTAGAGCCCTGTGTTATATTTAAGGAAATTAAATAATGAAGAATCTGCATAAATGTATGTATGCATCTTGCTTTGTGATAAAACAATGGTACCTAGAGTCATCAACATTTTGAATAACGTACATTTCCACCCGAATATTGGCATCTGGAAGCCCAAATTTGGAATTTATTTTATTATCTATTTCATATTTTGTAAAACTTTAACGAATTTTTGGTTAACAAACTCAACAATTTAATAGCAAGTGGTGGCAACACTGTATGGAAAAAGAAAAAGAAAAAGCTTTAAGATTTTTATTTTTACCTTTCCCCCCCCTTTTTTTTAGTCCAAAGGGGTTTTGTCCCTGAAAATTCTGTGAAATGTTTCTACTAACCCTGTTAAAACATTCAGTTTTAATTTTTAGTTAAAGTATTCTGAATATGCCTTAATTTCTTTAGTTTGTAACATACTTTATATTAAAATGTTATTAAGTTTCAATCTATTTTAGTTTAGAAAAATATAACTAATTTTCTAAAATAAAGTTATATATAAATTATTATAGGCTCTGGTTGGAGAAAAGCCTATTACGAAATCTACTGAAAATGAATTTGAAAATGTGCAAGATAGTAATCGTAGTCGAAAAAGAAGAAGCAGCAGTCACAGTCCAAGAAGAAGACATAAGCACAACAAACGTCACAGGTGGTTTCTTCTATTTGCAATATAATCTTGTTTGTATTTTACAGGGTTAGAGTGACACTTGCAATCCGAATTAGATCAAAATTCTAAATTCTCAAAAAGTTTATTTATTTATTTATTTTATTCATATCTTATAATGATAGTTTCTTGTATTTTTCCACTCCTTGGTTTTATTATGTGTTTATATATGTATAACTGACATTTTTTCTTTTTAAATTGCATGCTTTCATTCTATTTCAGTAATTTAGATGAACATTCTTAAGAATCATGTATAAACTCATTGAGTTTAAATTTCTTTTGCTAAAGCTTTAGATAAATATAATTTTTACATACTGGTGAGTTTAAATCTTGTGCTCAACTGTGCATTTGTGATTTCAGTTTCAAGTTTTTGATTGATTGATTGATTGACTGTGAAGTTTCGAAATAGTCTTTGTGGTATATAAAAGGATTGTTAAATTGGTTACTGTCTAAAAATTTTTATTACGAGACTTTATGATTTGGAAATAATGACTGAACTAAGAGGATCATTGTCATCAAAACAGACAAAAAAGTAAAAGAAAGAATAGAAAATAGATTTATTATATAAATATCTTATAATACAGGCATTAGGTGATTAAATTTCAGGTACTTTGAGCAGAAGAAATGTATAGAAATCAATATCATGTTTAGCCATTATGCTCCTGTAATCAGTTCTACAGTGCTGGGCACAGAGTGGAATATACTTTGGATGTCACCTTGGTTTGTCTTAGTCCATGAGGTTTCACTTTGCTGGAGTTATCAGCTGTAGATATTATTGATGATTTTGTACAACAGTCTGTATATAACCATGGACTAAGCTTGGTCATTTTGTGAACAAGCTTAGTCAGAAGCAGAAAGGGAGCATGGTGGCTACTGGGAAAATATATGCCTTGAATTTCTTGTGTAATTGTGCAGTGTTTTGTTCATAAGTGGCTCCGAAGAGTCCCTGAAGTTACAGGATAACTGCAATTATGTAGTAGTTCTGAGAAATAATGCAGGCTAGTCAGAGTAATGAATATATTTAGTAGAAGAGTAACTCATATACAATGGGAGCCTCTACCGTAGTTGTAGGGGCTAGATAGGTGTGAAAATGTGAAACACAAGGCTCCCAGAATCATTCTTTATTATGCTATAAAGGCACAGCACCATGGTGCTATGTGCAGAAGGAGATAGCATACCATTTGTGAGTCTGTATTGTTCAATACACTATTGCAACTGATGATGTCTGTGCTATGGGATTAAGTTGGCATTGCAAACAGTTTGTGATTCTGCAAATGATGCCATGCCATAACTCACATACTTATTCTTGTAACACACATCCTTATTCCTAAGCTAGGTGCAGCAGATGCGTTATTTCCTCTGACATTTGTATATTGAGTCATGCAATGTGCAATGTTGCAACCTGGTTTCATTGATTTTGCATTTGCATGTGTCTAATGGGCATGTTTCAACCACTACATGAATAAAATAATCTGCAGTCAATGTTCAATGCAGATCTGTTATGATCGAATTTGACAGTATGTTGATCTTGAGCTCTGCCGTCGTATTCTTGTTCACTTAGAACTTTTAATCTGATAAACAAAGAACAAACATGATTCCTCTTTTATAGTGCTTGTAGGTGACATTACTGGTACTCGGGAGGTAGGTGCACATACATGGGACAGCTAAGGGCTATGTAGGGAATTGAAAAGTTTGACAGTTATTCTGTTATTCAGAATTGGATAGCTTTTTGAACTCCGTGTTTTTGTTCTTTTTTCAAATTTGAGACCTTCACATTGAATTGCACATTTTACTGCTCTTTATAAATGATTCAAAAACATGAAATAAACTATTACATCCTTTTTAGAATTGCAACCATTTTTCGTATGTTCATTTGAAGAGAACCTCTTTCCGTGTACTTTTCTTGTTGAGAGCACTAGGAAATCATATGTCGTAAAGTCTAAGACAAGCCTCTGCAGCCTATGAACAGCAGGTCACTGATTGACTCACTAGAGTACCAGAAATAAAGTATTAGATATAAAAATAAATTGTGAAATAAATATCAATTGAGCATTTGAAGAATAATAAAAGATAACAATAATATTTTTGTTTGATTACAAAGTTGCTGTAATGAAGATGCATTTTTACTTCCTTGTAAACAGTAAAGGAAGTGTTATAATCACGGAAAGTTTCAGGTACAGTCAAAAGTCTTTAATCCAGACTTGTCGGGTTTTCGGCGATTCCGGATTATTGGTTTTTTCGGATTATAGATCATCAATTTAAATCTGGTAAGATGCCATGCAGAAATTATAAAATTAAAAATATGAAACCGTAATTTATGAAATAAAGAGCAGTTATGATCTAAAGAGTATCAAAATTAAAAAAAAAAAAAAAAAAAAAAAAAAAGCTTAATATTTATTTGTTTACTTTATTAAACATTTCTTTCAACGTGCGCATGCGTAAAGCATACATTACGCATAGTTGAAATTAGAAAATTGCAACCAGAAAACTATTTGATGTGTATTTTTAATATTTATAATGACAAGGAATTTGATTTAAATCATATCAAAGACAGAGTACATCGAGATGAAATACTACATTTAGTAAGGAATTATAAGTGGAATAAAATAAAAACATCTGCCCTGAAGATAAGGATAGTGCTCACAGATCAACTTCCAGTTCAATGCCCCCCTCAGATTTCAGAATGGTTAGAGAAACAAAGGAGCATTTATCCATTTTTTGCAGCAATTCCACTTTTTGTTTGATGGACATCAAAACATTCTTTCCCTTTGTAGATCCTTTGGCAGCTCCAGCATCGGAAAAATTTGTTGACATAATCGAAGTTCCAACTTACTTTTATAAAATTGCTCTAACAGTCTGCAAAAAATAGTAAGCCAGATCCAATTCGAAGATTAAGAAACAACGCAATCTGCAACATTAACTGAAATAGATAATTAGATAATTTTAGCTTAGCTTATACCGTCCATTATACATTAAACGCGCATGCATAAACATATTATGCGCATGTGTAAACATATTATGCACATGTGTAAAGGTATTACGCGCATGTGTCTACGCATTTTGTGTTGACGCATGCACAGAACGTTTGTAGCTTTGAGGTCCGGATTAGCGACTTTTGACTATATATATAAAACAAATAATTAGTATAGACATAGAAGAGGGACTCATATCCGTTGGCAGACTCTACCATAGGTATAGAAAAAGCAAAAGAGAGATTATTTCAAGGTATGTGGAAAGAAAAGTATGTAATCGAAAATGGGGACAAAGTGATATGCACTTTATGCACAGATGTAATTACTACTACAACTTACAATATTGAGCAGCACTTCTTTAGAACATAAAATTATCAATGAAATGCTAAATGAAGAAAAATCTGAATACATTGCTAAATGTGTACTAAATTTTGGAAAACAAAATAAATTTTTAGTGATTTTTGTTACCAGCTAGTCACATTACATCAGCCAGCTGTATGGCATCTTAGCATTGGTACCAATGGAAATTGTTTACAAGTGGCAAATGTTTGAAAAACACATTTATAATTTTGTTCTGAGCACTTATTTAATGACTTAAAATAAAAAACAAATGATTGAAAGAATTAAAGAAATACCATTGCCAGCTAGAACAATTCAGCGTTGCATTGAAGTTTTGAGCAAATATTACAACAGGACAGGTTAAAAATACAGACAAACATGGTGAACAGGTTAAAAATGGTTTATCCAGTAATGCTCTTGAAAGTATCAATGTAAATAATATGGCCAGGCATGTAATTGTTATTACAGTACAAAGTCCGTAATCTGGACTCGTCAGGACTTCCAGGGTTCGCAGCGGTCCTTACAAGTGCTTATAAGTCCTTATATTTGAAAATAAAATATAAAGGCCCTTATAGGTGCTTACTTTTCCGGAAATTTAATACATCGTTGAAAATAGAATCAGAAATACCCCCAATAGTAAGTCTTTTCTTTCCTTTATTAGTTTTCTTTCTCCTAATACCGACAGGTGTTGATTCAATTGCGTAATATCACATTGAAGAATTATGCGCACGTATTGCGCAAACTTTGCGGTATTTTGCATTGATAATTAATTTTGATCGTCTGAGATTTTTTATGAACACTTAAAAGAGTTTTTACTGTGCTTTCTAAGCAGAATATTTCTCAGTTCCGTTGGTTTTTTATATATGATGCACATATCGAATGTCAAATCATTTATTTAGCCGAGAAATCTAAAGAAACGGCTACTATCTCCCCACTCCTCTTTTTCTGTACTATCTGGAATATTCGATAATTTCCGAGTATACGGGTTAGTTAAGCTTTACTGTTAAATGAGACTGCAATAGCAATTTCCCATCTTCTGATTTCAGAAATGTGCCTATTTTTATTTAAATTACTTTGCTGGAATATATTTAGGGAAAATTGTTATGCAATGAAAATTGAAAATGTTCAGAATTTTGATTTAAGTAAATTATTTAAATATTAATATGAGTAGAAAAATAAATTACATTTATTATTAGGGCCAAACGAATACAATTAATATGGCTTATTATTATTTATTTTCTATATTTTCAACTGAAATCATCATTAAATTGTAATATAGTTTAGTCTGCCATAGTTTCCCCCCCCTTTCATTGTAAACTATTCTGTAAATGGAACTGTCATTAAAAATTAAAAAAAAAAGTTAATTGTTTCCATTGTTGAGGTAATGCTCATTCTCTTAATAAATATTGCATTGCTCATATTTTAAATACAGTCTAATTTTTCTTTTAAGTTATGCAGTTGTGTATAAGTAATTAGCCATGTGCTTATTTTTTCCTTAAAATGTGTTGAAGTGCTTATGATGCTTATTTTTTTAACTAAAATGTGGCTATGACCGGACCGGCGATTCCGGATTAGAGGTTTTCGATTATAGCTCATCAATTTTAAATCTGGAAGGTGACATGCAGAAATTTACAATTAAAATATGAACCGTAATTTATGAAATAAAGAGCAATT